GCATGCATGCATTGAGATTATGGGTTTATTGACACGCGCAGGCCTAAAAATGAGAAAACATTTGACATAGCAAAGTGTTACCAGTGTAATTTATATGTCAAATGTTTACATATAAAACGCATTTTTAGGGCTGCGCGTGTCGATAAAACTGCATATATAACTTACAATTTACAACTAAACATACTAGTAACATTACTCATTATTTCATTTCAAAACTTATTAAACGAATACATACTGCATGTATCATACTGAATAGAGGGCTGAGTTAACACACTTGTCGTGCATAATCAGACTGTATACAACTAAACATTGTACCACATGGTGCCATCTCGAAATGGACTAAACAATTTTAGTGTTTTTATTTGGAGCATGCCGACCAATAATAACACTAACACTAGTTGTAACGACATGCACGCACACATACTGAAAAACGCGGCGAGATAAAAACAGAATGCGTCATGGCGTTGATAATAAGACTTAAAAAGTATTAATGGATACTGTGACACATGGCGCCATTTTGAAAAAAGTAATGAATAATTTATAAATGGACGTATTTATAAAAAAAAAATAACAGTCACTGAATGGTATGGCGTTAATAAGAGCTACGACGTTTTGTTGTACATGTTATGTATCATGCCTGACATGCTGTGATGAGTCAAAATAGCTTCCTCTACAAACTGTTCTTTTATACTAGTAATTGTGGGATAAATGAAAACATTTGTTTTATCCTACAAATTTAACAAAGGTGATAATTATTCATGTATTCAATAGAAAGCTGTCACAAGACAAATATCCGGAGGTTTAATCGATTTATGATACGCTAAAACGAATGGTATTATTTAAATTAGTTTCCATAAATGGTATGTAATCTACATAATCCCATGTTAGGCGAACAAGATAAATACGAGTGTGCTTTTGACATTTCGTCCATACCCGACGTCTTCATATATCATTAAAGACTACTTGAGGCAAGTATCTGATTTTCTCTTTGTTGTGTTCTCCCTACATAAATATGTATGAAATTTGTGTACATGTACAATTTAAATTTGTGAGTCGTATTAGTTGTGCATCTGATATTGTCAGGTCTACTTTGCTACGTCATTGTTGTTTACATTTCTGACTTTTTCAAAAAATCTACGAAACAATATCCACAAATAATAGTGCCATCCGAATCTTGGATTGTCTCTTAAAGTGTTTGTTTTAAGCTGATCAATTGTGATTCTATCCACTAAATAATCTGACGTGTTGCTATTCATACGACCCTTATAGTAATCAGTGTCATCTATACACTGACTTCATTTACCTGACGTGGTGCTAGAAAACGTCCCTTAGTCACTTCCAACCACAATAACAGGCAGATGGTCGAGAGCAGCCAATCACTATGTATTATAAGGGAAAATAATTGAAGGTAGAATTCATACGGCTTATAAATAATAGTTGTTTTCTTTATTTCTCTGCTCCATTAGTCAGTTCAGTAACTAATTTAATTTATTGCTAAACACTTTTGTACTGCGCTTCATACTGGTATACGAGACATGCTAGTAAGTGCATAATATTGGAACATGCCAATCAAACTAGAAAAATCTCCCGACCACCTATTTATTTTGCATGTTTGTCTTTGCGTCATTTCTGTTTTTCTGATGAAGAGCGTTTACCCGAAACTGCTTGACCCTCGAGTTTGTTTTTCAGTAATTTTTAAGTTAATTTATCCAACCTGTCTGAGCATCTTCCCTTTGCTTTTCTGCAGAACGACATTTTTGTGAGTCATTTATTTTCTGTCGACGGTGTCTTTTCTGTCTTATTTTTCGTCAATGTTTGACCTTTTCGAATTGTTTACACCAGTTAAATAACGAATCTGAATACAACCTTTATCAAAAGGAAATAACTAATATACAATGTTAATTTTCAGTTCAAAGATGTCGAAATACGTTGTCTTCTATAGCACAGCGTGCATCTTTATGAGCGTTACCATGACATTGAGTAATGGAAACAAAGTAAGTATTTACTTATTTGTATTTTTGAATACAATTAAGTTGCCAACAGCATACGATTGCTAGTTACTTGTACTTCGAACTTAGTTTTGTGTGCTGTAATGTATGCGTGCCCGTAACATGGGCGGATTTAGAGGGGGCCGATGGGCCGCGGCCCCTCCTATTTTTAACAACCAACAGGGCTTCGCGCCATCGGCGCTCGCGAACTTTGTCTTCGGCCAACTTATCGGCCCCAGAATTCTAGATCCGCTCTGCGTAATGAGCATATATAGTCTACAATTAATGAATTGCCAATGCCAGTAAATAAATCTAAAGAATAATATTTTTGTTCTCATAGTTTCGATCTTGTTGGAATTACCTACACATGCGACTGTGCTTTCTTTTGATACATTGAACATAGCACGCTCAATTCAAGCATTAGTACTTACATATTTAATTACCTCGTAGATTGAACTACCAGCGGAGCTGCAAGGTAAAGATACTTTTGAAGGTGATATGAAGTTAACGGCGGACCAATTTACTAAAATTGAGGAACGGATAGAAGCACAGAAACACAGAATAGAAACAAGAAAAGCCTATGCTATTTTGTCTACACGTTGGGAAGATGCCATTGTGCCTTATAGAATCGAGCCTGAAAGTAGGTGTATTGTACTAGTTCTATGTGGGTGATATATATACATACATACCTACCTTGTACGCAAAATAACAATAGACTTTGGGGTTGTTTTTTGAATAACAACCTCCAACTCGGGCGATATTTGAAGGGAATGGGCGATATTATAGACCTGCCATACTCTCGGCATGATATCGGAAATAACATTCGACTTCGTCCCGTGTCATTTCCGATGTCATGCCTCGAAATGACACTCCGTTGGTACGGTCGTGATATCATCCCGTGGCAAAGCCGAGAAATGATATCACGACCTACCTCCGAACAGGTTAAACGTTTGTTGCACATTTATTGGTTTCAATCAAATATTATGTTTACACATTATACTGCTATAATTGATCAGATATTTCCGGTAATAGTAAACACGCAATTGTTGTAAACAATTCAAGCTCCAGCGTCTTCGGTGTTTAGTTCATGGATTCCAACATCCGCAGGAGATGACGTATCGGAAAATTCATCAAGATCGACGTTTACTTGCTTGGAGGTTGTAGCAGCTGCGGTACCATTCAAAATATCGCTTACTTTCTTCTCCTGGTCCTGTGTTGTGCGTTTATAACTGCGAACACCTGTAGATTAAAAAAAAAAACATTGTCAAGATAATTTAAATTTAATTAAGTTTTTCATGTGATTATGCATTCATTTAAAATTCTTTGAAAAATCAACCAGTAAAAACGTGCTTCGCTACTTTTTTTAGTTAAGTTAGTTTACAGTGATAGCAATATATTAATACTGTTCTAGTTTGGTTACCTTCTATTGAGCGGTGTCCTGTTCGTTATGAATTGCTCATCAACACCATGCTCATAAAGATTGGTCGCACCTGTAGCAGGTAGACTATGGTTTGTAAAGTTTCCAACGATTCCAGCAGATCGGCATAAATCTGGCACCACGAGTTGAATAAAATTGTGACCCATCGGCTTCTTAGTAAACCGATTCTTCGTATTTACGCCGGGGTTGCAGGTAGAATGCTTTTTGTTTTCCCTCGGGTGGGCAGAGTGATGTATACTTGTACATTCTAATATGGCATTGTTGGAGTTTTTCAGCATTTGCATAATGCATTACCTCCTTTCGTCTTACTCTGCAATGCCTTAGACCACCTTGGTTGCTTTTCGACGCGTCTTCCACATATTTCAAATGAGGTGTTTCACCTGGTGACTCGTGTATAGTGATTCGGGGTGGGTCAAAACGTAGAGCTCGATGTTCCATTCCGCTTCTGAGGGCAAAGTGTTTGCTATTTAGAAATACCATAGTGCGAACAAAAACCCGGGAGAATAGCAGCTTCATTTTCCACAGTAACGCGGTTTGGTCTTTGGTAATTATCTCAGCTTGTTTTGTTTTTGATCCCAACCCCAAACTGGACAATCTTTTCATTTCTGGATCGAGCACTTGAGCACACATGCTTTATCACTTAGAACACTTAGAGGCGTTTGCAGCTCAGAACAACACGAGCTTTGCAAACCCATGATCAAAGATAACAATTTAAAATGTTCACCTTTTCATCAGTAGTTAATTCCAGTCGGGTGTTATTTCGTACCATCGCCCATTCATTAAAAGTACGCAGAGCCCACATGTTACGTCGCCTTGTGTTTTTTGGTATTGAATCCTTAGTGACGGCCCGTACAGCAGAATCCGACACTGGGTCGCAAAACCGTCTACTCTGGATTTCCTGCAATGTGATAAAACAAGTTGCATGTAAAGTCATATTTGCTTTTTTTAATACAAGAATATGATAAACCAGTGAATTGTAGTCACTGAAGTGAGAAACTGAAATACTTACTTGTGGAACAGTACCCGGTTCAATATCGACATTATCAAACCCGAGTTGATTCAAATATTCAGCTGCCTCAGTTGCTTCTATTAGTTCATCGTCGGAAACGTCCGAGAAAGTGGGATATCTTCCATCTCTCCACGATTCGCGTCAATGAGAACTGTGGAAAGTTGGCCATGTGTGATTTTGCATTTATACGCACATTCAGCCGATATTACGTAGCCTATCAAACAACTTCAATAGTGTGAATACCAATGTCCGTGGCTTGATTGGTTGTATAAAACTAAGATGCATCCAGGTGCGGATGACGAATTCCACAAATTCGGCGTATCAATGGGGGGGGGGGGACTAAATCATTTTAAAACTCAGTGCTGATATCGCCCACTTGCTTCATTACAAAATATTTTGGAAGGTTCTATTATGTCGTAAGGGATATTTCTCTATAACAGAGGGACATCCTCTGGTTGTGTATGTTTGATATCGCATTCCTACCTCGACGACATCCATAATATCGACCTCCGCCTTCGGTCGATATTATGAATATTGCCTCGGCAGTCATGCGATATCTCACACACACCTTCAATGTATACTCAATATTCGGTCTTCACGTTTCGTCACTATATTACAGGCCAGGGTGACACTGCTGTAATACTGTCAGCAATTGCCCACTGGGAGAGCAAAACCTGTATTAGATTCCCGCAATACGATCCCGCTGAGCACACGTCATTCATAAGCTTCACAAAACAGGACGGGTAAGTTATTAACTAAGATATTATTCGATCTTCTACTGTGACAAATTCATTTGTACAAACAAATAATATAATTGCAGCTTCCATTAGAATACTTAATGTTTTATCAGTTGGTAAGCTGCCTGTCACTAGTACTGCTACTGACACATTGCCCCACACTGTTTTTGTAACGTGCGCCATTCATGTATTAACAAATGAACTGCCTTTTATTTGAGTTATTTGTTCTGTACTGACAAGCGTTGTAAAGCAACATGCTTTCTACTTTTAAGTGATAGAACAATACAATTATTGGCAGACTCAAATCAGCGGCCTTGTACGCATTCGTGTGGTCGAGGTAAATGTTATACATGCCCATTTGTTCTGTGTTGTCCGACCATGAAAGGCCCTTTAAAAACTATACACATTAAAGATTCGTTTACATGTACGTCATCCAACATAATTTACTGTAAGGTAAAGGTGTAATATGCTGTATTTGAGTGAGACTAAAAGACGATTGGGTGATCGTTTTGTTCTGTTTTGTTTGCGTACTGTCAAAGTCAACAAGATTTAAGCATTTTTGTACACCCCCATGATGGTGTATCTGATATTACTGTTACTGGTATTTTACATCTAAATGGCGGGGATTCCTCTCGGCTCAGGTGGGAGCAATCATTAGTATTCAAAATTGGCACACTCAGTCCAGATGGCATTAATTGTCAATTCACCTCATTTCCTTTGCCTTGATTGGCTCCTTATTGTGTTTGTATAGTGAGGTGTTTTTCTGTCTTATGTCCCCTTGCTGAGGAAGGGTTGAACCCGAAAAGTTCTGTTTTTTATTCTCCATATTAGTGTTTTTTTTCATTCCCCGCTGGTCGGTTTTATTGTTCTGCTTTTTCAGCACTATAGCAGATTTTACTGATTCTTGTTAGTATAGACTATTGCAAGCTTCTACCAAAGATAAATTACCACATTATGTCAGCCACATTATGGCCATATATTTGGAATACATTAAATGATTCAAACAAACGCAACATTTTTGTCTCAAATAAAGCATTCTATCGTCACCCAGTTACATAAAGCCGAGTTTTGTGATCAATAGACGACTGACTACTTGGAACCTGCATGTCGATACATTGTTATACTTCTTGTAATAATTCATAAATTTATGTATTTAATATGATAGATGTTGGTCGTATATTGGGAAGGTCTTTACTGGAGCACAGGAAATTTCCATTGGAATCGGATGCGAACACGTAAGTCCATGCATATTCGGTAGCACTGTGTTGAAGCTGTCACATTTAATACAAATGCGCGAATTAGGCTGAATAAATCGAACTTATTTAGTTATATGCCGTATCATTATACATCTGTCACCTTAACGCCATAAGTTACAGCGTGCCGTAATTTTGAGATATTGCAATGGGTATTTTCATCCTACCATATTAGGGAACGCGAATTCCAAATATGAAACGATTACGCGCGTAATAATAAAAACAAACATGGCTGCCCCAGGGTTTGACCGGACCCCGCGCAAAGAATTTCGCTAAATATTTTCTAAAAGTTTTGGATTTCGGCATTCCCATGATGTATTCATGGGAGGAAAAATGTATAATAATAAGGTTATTACGAAGATACTGCAAAGTATGCACTCAGGTAGTACGTGGTCGGTACTGTCTTCGTACATGCTTTGCAGTATCCTCGTAATAACCTCATATTATTCCAAAGTATATTTATTGTTTAAAGAGAAAAAGAACAAGTGAAAGAATGAAATAATGCTTTGTGCGCATGTAAGACAAGTCTTCAGAAAAGATGATATATTTTGTGTTTGAAAATGCAATATTCATAATTACCCGGTAATCGTATTCTTGTCAAATAAACAAGAGACAGTGCGAGACAAACGCAACATTTCTGCTACAACAAAAATCTATTTTTTTGTTCCTTCAGTTGGGTACTATTGCACACGAAATAGGACATGCAATAGGGTTCTTTCACGAGCAAAGTCGCCCGGACAGGGATAGTTACGTTATCATAAACGAGGATAATATTATAGACGGATATGAGGATAACTTCCAAAAATACGACACTGGAACTATTGACACGCACCAAGTACCGTACGACATTGGATCTTTGATGCATTATGGAGAGAGGGTGAGTAAATTATGTGTTCCTGATTTCATATGCTATGTTTTGGAACTATATTATTCAATACACAATATATAAAGCACAAGATATCCGCCTGACTGAACTACATGTAACAGTGCTGTCTATAATCAATCAATCAATTCATTCAGTATTTCAGCAAGAATGGTCTAAATACAATAGATGCAGTTAATCCAGCTGATCAATCAAAAATGGGCCAACGTGATGGTCTTTCTGACGCTGATATTCTGTTAGCTAATTTAATGTACAAGTGTCCAGGAGGTAATTATTCATTTTCAATTGGTTATACACAGCGTATCACATAACATGTGTGTACAAATGTATCCGGCTTCAATATCTAAAAAGTAGGTCATATGACAGATGAAAATAAAATACATCATTAACATTTCTATGTTAAATAATTGTCATGTAAAATTCAGTCTAAAAATAAGATATTTGCAAAAAGTAGTTATGCTGTCCTCAATCATTTAAACATGTTTTTTTTCTGATACACTGAAATACATTATATATACCGACTACACATCAAATGAGATCTGCTTCATTTGACATAGTTAATGACAAGAAACAAATTCAGCCAATTATCAAACAGTATGCTCATGAGCAAACAATAGATACAGTGAAAAATATCTATGTTCAAAGGCATTTTAATGAACAATAACACATATTTGTCGGCATGTGTGCCGAAGCCGTTTGTCAATTCTATTTGTAAGGCGGAAGATCATTAAAAAATCAGAGCAGAGTTAGTTTGTCACCTTCCAATTATGCATTTGTTTTTCTTGTAGATGTCTTATATTTTAAATTGAATTTTTTTTATTTTCAACTGTTCCATTATCATTCTTTCCATAGTATCAGGTGATCCCCACATGAAAACATTTGATGGACGTCCATATACTTTCCAAGGTGTATGCTGGTATACTCTATTCAAAGACTGTTTCTATCATAAACCTGATTTTGAAGTCGCCGTCAAGTTTGAGCCAAGGGGTGACAGTACCACTGATCATTTCAGAACAAGAGCAGTTGCCTTCAACGTTTCGGTCGGGATGGAGTATGCTAATGTTAATGGACTGGACGTGATAACAGTAAGTTACAGTAACGTGTCATTGCATCGTTTAGATCATTTGCATATTATTATTTATTAAGGATTATATTCTAACATACATTGTATTATCGCAGGGGAATAAAGGGCACGACACCGCCGCTAGATCAATCCGTGTTCAAAAGGAACAGAACGTGGTTATATTAGAATTTACATCCAATAATACAACATTTACCTTGGAATGGGCTCTGAGGAAACACGCCTTAAAAGTAAATGTACAAGGTGCTACATACAATGGACGACTATGTGGTTTGATGGGTAACGCCGATGGTGACACACGTAATGACTTTCAGACACCTGATGGTAATGTTGTACTTGACGCTGCTGAGTTCGGAGAAAGCTGGGAAGTAAAAGGCCAAACGTTAGTTCATTTTAAATCGAGTTCGCTTTTCAGACTGTTGTTTTATTAACGTGTGGTCCAGCAAAATCTTTTACTGTTAGAAAGGTGTTATATGCACCATCATAACATGTCACATAAAAATGTATGCACAGGATTCTTCAAATAACCCCTTTACTAGACATTGAAAAGACGATTTCGAACCATTTGGAAATTGACAATTATGACATGACAATTATGGCTAAACTAGGCTGATTATTTAACTTATTTAGAATATATCCTCTGCATTGTTTGAAATATTAGGAATACACGAAAAATCTTACTAAAAGTGTTATTCAAACAGAATATTTTTGTTGCTAATTGTTGTATCAAAAGAACGGCCATTGCTAACCATGACACCATTTTATCTTAGTGAAAAGGAACAAGTTAAAACTAAATCGGATAACATTTTGTGTTTTTTCAATGTATTTAACAGATGTGAGTGAAAAGTTTATCAAGCCAGAAGATTGGAACATGTTTATTTGCAGGAAAGACTAGCACCGAAATATGGATAGATTCTCAGCAATATAACCTAAAGCATATGTTGCAAGATTTGTAAATATATTAGTGGGTATGATATAACAGTGTGTTGGTATTATTTTGGGTATATTAAACTTATGGTACATATATATATAATTAGTAAAATAAAGAAATGCTAATGAATGTTGTCTTCATTATTCCATGCAATAAACCGGTCTAATGTGTACAAGACCTGAAATAGGACTTCAACATCTTGGAACGCTGACAAATTGCACCTCATGAGAAAAAGACTAAATAAACTTTTGATTTCCTGTCAGTTTGTAATTTTACAGGTGTTATATAAAGCTGTAACAATCACATTATCTTTGTTAGACAATAGTAAGTACAAACATCTGTCTTCTTAAACTTTGCTGAAACACAACCATGCAGTCGAATGTATCTACTTTCAACATTCAATAAATAGGAATTGCTGATTGAATGAGATATCACAGGAGGACGCTAATAAGTCGCAGAGATTTCTATACAGATGGAACGTACATTTTTTACACGTTATGCAGACACACCAGTAGATTTTATCACACAAAAATAGCATTCGTTAGACTACATACTTTACAATGGCCGCCGTAAGATAACAGTGAATTCTGCATATCTCGTTAGTAACAGCGCCATCGACGTTTCGACAGGCTTCACATGTGTAATTGTAAATATCAGTCACTGGACAAGGCAGTGTGTAGTACATAACAAAGTGTGGGCATTTGAAGATGCACTATGAAAGGTTTGCAATATTGTTGTTCGATATTGCATACTGTAGACCAAATCATAATAGGAGTTTGCGGACACATCAAAGTATTCATTAAATTAACAATTAAAACCACTAATACGCATGTGCAAAGATTCGAATAGTACATACCAAAACGACCAGTGTAGTGCAAATACTGAGATACGTGCTACAAGAACAACGTTTGCAGGACATAATAAATAAAAATCCAATGTATCAACATACAGTATCAAATAGCACTACTAGAAATTTACAATAACATCATTGAAAAAACAAAAATCTACAAATAATTCGCACAGTTTTAACACCCCCTGGAGTTTATAATGGCTAATCGTGCAATTCCTGTCAAAATCTTGTAAATCAAGACAATGGACACACCTCTGGTATAACGAAAGTGCATTTACTGCCAATAGAGCATATACAGTATTGTAGTATTGGACTACATAGTGTTTACCAATATATTACAAGTAAAACTTGAAATGGCATGAAAAGTGGGTATAAAAATGAAAGAATTTGCAATATACTAAAACTCGCTGACTAACTCAATTTAAGACAAATAAAAACAAACCAAGTGATAAGTCGCCTCACCCCAAATTGATTTCCCTGGTTCCATAGGACCGCACTGCATTGGTTAACCGGTTATACATTAATGGTACATAACACAAAAGGTGGATGTACAAAGTTTTATTGCCGTTCCATGTAAGGTCGAGCAGATGGTAGTCTGATGACTTGCTGAGGTCGCGTTTGTATAGTAGACATCCAGACGCGAGTGTATGAATGTTGTATGAATGATCCAACATATAGCCAACAGTAGAATATCCCAGCTTATATTCAACCCCAATGTAATTGTCCCCTGGAATTCCGACGTTGATTTAGTATCCTTCCGGGAAACTAAACTCCATGACCACATGACTGGATGCTAAGTGATTAGCAGCCAAGATAATGACAAAACTTAAGATTCAATGGATGCGCCGAGCAATTGCCCTGATTCTAAGAAACTGGGCATGTTATCTGCAATATGTAATACCGATGTACGATTCGTTGGGTGCGAGTTAGGGAGAATATCGCATGAGTAGTTGATGGGCCAACCAAATTCCAAAATGTAGATGTCAAAATAATCACGCAGAAAAAATGTTCAAACCGGAAATAATGGGATTCGACAACTGTGAAAATTATAAATACCCGCATTTGTGATGTAATGATGTGACTTATTGCAATCATTGTTAATGTGGTCTGGCGGCACAGCGTTCAAACTTGACTCATTGATGACTGACGTGCTGATGTTCTTGGTGGCCGATTTACTGCCTTGGCACTTGTCGTGTGAGAAAGTGTTGGGTCAATGATAAGGCAAGTGTAGGCATTCAGCGTTTGTGGCACTGCGTTCATGCTTGATGTTGATGTAGACAGTTGTTATTCTTGAGGAAAACTGTGGTGCTGAGCTCGGTAATGGTGTAATAAATTAATTTTGTTTAATTTGCTATTGCTGTGTTCCTAGTGCAGGTCGCCCCCTAGAGTTCATTTTATATTTATCTCGTGTTTTCTTGTACAGCGCCCCCAGCGGGCTTGTTCAACATCAGTCAGCCATTTTGCAGTTTAGTTCTCGTCAGCAATAATTCCGATTTTTCACAACATAATTATCCTCCAATGTCTCAACGTCCAAAAAGAGTCTGCAAGACTTGTCAAATTCCACTCGCGCAACACATCGGGCCCTCAGGAAGAAATTGCAGGCAAAACGCAGGTAATTCTTTCATTTATCAACATGGCAAGTTACTCGAACAAGTCACGTGATACCCACGACGCCACACCAGCTACTCGTCCCAAAGAGCCAATTCTTTCCCAGACTCGGAAACCTAATAAGTAGTTTGAAAGAGGAATCTTTTGACTCAGACCTAGATCAACATGCTATGCTACAGACCATCAGATTGGAAAACGACAAGTTACAGTTAGAAATAGAGCTAAATGCTGAAAAAAGCAGCAGGGATCAAGAGCGGAGACGGAAATTTCACTATAGATGATCTTAGACGAGATAAGAAAACTAAAAAGCTTGTCAAGAAAACCAAGAAAAAGCTATTGACAGTGAACTCTGATTCAAGCACAAGCACCAGGTCAGACGAAGCGGAGTACGTACTTCACAGCCAAACATCAAATCTATGCAGGTATGAGTCTTCATTATAAAATGTTCCGTCCCAAAAATAAGCAACGAAAGCCGAAATCGGGTTCTGCAACCCATCTGAGCTGGGGCTGTTTCCTTTGACGTGTTTGTCGTGCGTTTCTGACTGAAATAAAAAAAAAAACAATCGCTGTCGATTAAACGAGCAACTACCGCACGATAGTTCTGAAATTGATTATATGCATTCGTAATATACAATATCAAGTTACCGAGTGTTACGGAGTTCGGATTTGAAACCCCATCTCCGCAATACCATTTACATCAATGAAATTAATTGACAAGTTTATACAAGCAATGACAATGTTCGGAATTGCTTTACCCATAACACAGTGTCTTACATGTCAAAACTCCAAGATTAGTAAAAATTGAGTGTCGGAATATAATATAACACAGATGTTAAATTACAAATATATCTTTAAAGTACAAGTAAGGAACACTCTCTTTATACTGATGTAATCTGGAGAAACTCGGAGACGTATTCGATGTATTTTTTACCACATCTTCGACACTGATTTTAAAATGTTTTAATACGATTGGACTTAGCATTGGTATCCCAATACATGCCACGTAAATGCCTTGTGCGACTAGGCAAGGTTTCGATAGGAAAATAATGATCTGGAAAAAATATATTAAGAGGCGTTAGTCGTCGCGTCACGCATGCGCGAGATATATGGGTCTCATATAAACAAAGATGGCGACTTTGACCGTTGCGCCTTAAAAAAGCTGCCATGTATTATGGACTGATGCAGAACGGGAAAACGATGGCCCCGAAATAATGACGAATGAAGACCACATACCCCAAGACTGAATAATCATTTCACGCCTAAGTGTACAATCATGAATGATTGAAAGGGCCCCTTTCACTTTTTAAAAAAAATTACATAACCCAGACAGGGGTGGATTTGGTTAATGCCACAACTGCGTTTACGTCAACATGGCTAGCAATATCGTCACTCCACAGTGACCAACTACATCTGAATTCCTTGAATCAATTGACCCAGGATTGATGAAATACCTGGATGATATTTACGTCTTGATTTCAACAATGTGAAGTGCTTGAAGTATTTGAATCGTCTTTGCTACAGGGTCGAGAAGAGGACGCGGACGACTTTTTGATTCATTCCAGTAGACATAGCCAGTTTAAAACTCATTGAGTGAATTGAAGAAAGAGATAGAGATTATGGGAGCTGACATTTTTACAGTTACATCATAAAGAGCTCACCACCAAATATTGTCATCAATACATGGGTTATTGAGCAATCGGCTGTTCTAGCAATCGTTGTATATTGGCATAGCAATGCGGGTATATTAATGCACAAAAAAACGGAGATAACAAAAATCAACAGTAACATTGCAAAGTTATTCTCAGCTAAAAGGAAAGGAAACGACTTTAGATGTCAAAAAATAATCGTATGAATCGTCACCGTCAACATGTGGTGACCAAATTCATGCAGCCCCTATCCGAACAAACTAAAAAAATAGTTATTTCAAACTGGAAACGGAAGGTTGACACACATATCAGTGTTCTGAGCATAGATAATCTATCGTGGACAAACATTTCAAGGGGAAAATGGCTTCAAAGTTAGAGTGTCATCTTTCAGTCGATCATTCAAAATTTTGACCAAGAACATAACCATGCTGCCAGAAGCATGAAAATCCTGTTAAATAAACGCTTGGAAAATAACTCCGACGAAATCTATCAGTGAATGCGATGTATGCTGCAGTATTATTTGGTTAGCATGACATATACAAATCACTTTAATTATATGTAACATACTGAAGTTGGTGTAATACTAATCAAAAATTCTAAATTGTTATTTATAGCTGCACGTAGCAAGAGAGGAGCAAAACTAGAAGCTCATTTCTACTGCGCTTGTATAACTCAAGTGTTGAGAGTATATATTAGTTAATCTCAATGCAGTTGAGGTATAATGGATGATTAATTGTTTTTTCATCTTTTATTCCTTATTTATTTTCAGTTTAATGTGAGCAATCAATTGAATTAAACGGAATTGCATGGTAAATGTCAAATAATCAATAAGTTAGTGTAATTTCATTCAACTGATTGTTTGTAATATTATATATACTGAGTTGTGTACATCTGTAATATTTTTCTTGATGTTCTGGATGTTGCGTCTTGTAATGCCAACAGTCAAGGTTATAAAGGCATTTCTGTCTTCTTGACAACCACTGACCAGATTGTTTGCAGAATATATATATATATGTAGTAGGCAC